ACTGTGGTCAGGACAGTGATTAATGAACATCAAAACAACCTCACTACTGGGGTCCTCTACCAGCTTGCCGCGCCTGCGGAGACACTCATCAGCAGCCTCAATAGACTTGTTCAACCGGATCCAGTAATCCATGGCATTCTCACCTGGATGTGGCACAGTACTGTAGAAATCTTTCATGGGCAGGCTGGAATATGTCAAGTCGCTGAAGTTTGACCTCAGTATGTCAAACACAGCAGTAATAAGATCATTCCGATTCAACTCAGGGCGGCAACGAAGTGACACCTTGACCACATCTCTGGCTTTGCCAGTCAGTCTAGACATTAATATGGCAAACATTTCTTCATCTGTGTCACAGCTGATTCTGTGCAGCTAACATCTTATCATGTCCTCCCATTCACCGATGGGAAATAGATCTGTGTTGTCACCCTTGAAGTATGGTGGAGCTTTGGTGTCTGACTGAACAACAACCTTCAGCTGGGACTGGTCATTGCAGCTCGAGGGCACATTCTGGGGAGACTGTGGCTGGGTGGGGGCTGGCTGGTGCATAGAGTTAAGAGAGGATGTGATATTTTCCCCAATTTGTTTTGCTAAGTCAGTAATCAAGCTGCTCAACATGTCACTAGTGACAGCCTGGGTGTGTGTTTGGCGTTCGCAAGCAGCTGGTGTGGAGCTAGCTGGCATTAATGGTGAGTGCATCACTGACTGGTCTACAGTGTGGGTACCAATACCCAGGACTACTGGCCTACCCCTCCCAAAACACTTTGGAGCAATCTGATGACCCCTTCCCAAACCAAAGGTCACATTACTCCCCGCAAAGAACAGATCAGGCATAGCGCTATCCGCAGTTTCCTCACCTAACAAGTTGGCCCAGGTGGGATATCACTGTTTAACAGCAAAAAGAAGAAAAAAATGAGCCTAACCCCCACACACAATTATGTAAAACTTCACAAAACAATGAAATGTGGGGGGGAAAAAACATCAAAGAATCAAAACACCATACAAAATAAAATCAAATGTTGTTTTCTCCTCTCAATTAAAACAGACTGTAAAAGCCAATACCAATAGAAAAAAATTTATTAATTAATTACAATCCGTGCCTGTATAATTTGAGGCAACAATATGAAACAGTGACAGAAATGATCATCTACGAATTTGCCGTTTAAGTTCACACGTGACAGAGATGCCTGCAAGCCAAATTGCGGGGCATTGGCCACACAGGCACAATATAAAAAACTGTGAGTCAAAGCGCAGGGCACAGGACCCTGGCATACAGCGCACAGCTGCAGAGAGGAGGCGGGAAAATAGCGGCAGCAGAAGGAGGAGGAGGATTGGCGATGTGAGGGGTCACGGCACCAAGTGTAACCAGTGTGGTTCTGCGTTGTGTCTGATAAAAAAAGGTAAAAGAAAGAAAGACCTCCAAGTAAATAATTTGCCCACTCCAGCTCCTACGACCAAATACAAACAGTGGGGAAGAGGGTTAGCTCAACCCACCACAACTTCCAAGCTAGCAAGGAGTATATATTCATGCTAGCATTTATGGCGCCTAAAACACATTTATGATACACTACACACTTATAACATCTAACAAAAACAGGCTTAATAATGGCAATAATTGAACTAAAATCACAATCAGAAACATCAGGGTGGCTAAATATGAATTATATGTGTGTTTTAAGGTGTTGGAAAGAAATGACACCCACCTCTCCCACAGGGGAATTGTAGAAAAGGGGAGAGGCAAAAGGGGTACACTGTATTTATAGGAGTGCACCAAAAAAGAAGAAGAAAAGAATGAGGAGGGGCTCTAACTGATAATGAACATAACTACAGGCTTGGAGGTCCTAAAAGTCAGGTATAAAAGGAACGGTTTGGGGGTTTAGAACACATTTTGTGTAATTATAACAAGATGTGATTTATGACCCTGTTACAGCTGCACCTCCCGAAGATCAAACAATGAAATTATCTATAAACAAGGTGACTGAATGTGGAAATATGAATCATAATACGTAAATGTACAGAAATATACAGTTAACAGCTGGTTTAAGTAATAATTGATTGCATGCCCTGGGACAGACTGACAGAGGCGAGGCTGCCATATCGCACCATCGGCCCCTTTGGTTATCACTAGTAGGCGGTAGGTGAAGAGTCTTGACCACGGACACAACGACGGAGAGTGTCTGAGCGCGAACCGGCAATCTTCTGATCACAAGGCGAACTGCCAACTCTTGAGCCACGAACGGCCTAATTCGCAACGATAATAATACTTATGTGATGTAACACAAGCTTATAGGGATCATGTTATATACTTTTCCATAGCATTACATTTGAATTCGATCTTTCAAATAATGGACAGATATTTGTGAGATCATGATACATTTGTGAATGTATTTTAACATTCTAAATATGCATATGTACAGACAGATACATTTAATAATCATGACAATTATGTTGTATTACATTACAGTGATTTAGTGTTAATTTACATTCAAAATGTGAAGTCAAAGTCTATTTACGTAACTTTAATGATATTCTAGAAGAACAGAACATTACTGTAAAATGCACAGAAAAATACCTTCATATTAGGGTTTTTTCCTACGGTCGCAGCGTTACCCGCAACCTTGTTGTTAGTTCACATTCATTGGCCGATGCTTAGCGTCATGTTATTTATATTAATTGCAATTCCTACCTCTACATTTCTTTTTCAATACATATAATTAGCACAGCGTGGCCATGCAATGTTTTACATTGTGGCATGCAGAGAAATCTTAACAAAGAAGCTCAAAGAGAGAGCTTGAGCTTGTTATTTAACTCCAAGCTGGTAGGGGGAGCTCCTTAATAAAACACTTACGGTGCTACAATGTGCCTCAATGTTCAACAACAGCACAACAGAAGTCACTCATGGTACAGCACTCTCTCTACAAAACAACAACTGTCAGTGACTCTGCACCACGGCGTAAACACAACATTCAAGATAACGGTTTAAAGTAACGTAACCATAAACAATAAAACAAGAACATCTAAACAGCAGCACATGTCCCAAGGCATGATGGGAGACATTTCTGGATGTATTTTTACAATCTAAATATGCATATGTACAACAAAATATATTTAACAAACAAGTAAATTGTGTTTTATTACATTTACAGTGATGTTATGTTATTTTACATTTGACGTGTCAGATCACAGTCTACTTATGTAAATGTAATGATATTCTAGAAAAACAGTACACATCTGTAAAATACACAGTAAAATCATTTGACATTACTATTTTTGGAACAGTGTAGGCTAACACTAACTAGCTAACAAGATTATAAACCTGGTGCTAAACTAAGAGAAGCCACAAAATCAGTTTGAATAAGAGTAAACATTTACTCGCCAAGTCAGTGTATCAGGTAAAGATCCACAGCAATGACAACAATAATATCTTGAGCTGACGCTTTTCCAGGTTTGCTCAACATATTCCATAACAAATTCTGGCACCATGAACATGCGAACTGATCCGAGAGGGAGGAGGACGGTAGTCACGTGGCATTTTCAAAACACATCTTTCATCCTTCCGCACTGAGAAGCAAAACTTCCATCTTACTTAGTTTTTCTAAGTTAAGACAACTCAAATAAATTGAGTTGATCAGCGTGTTTGCATTAAAAGTACTGTTAACTTATTTAAATCGAGTTCTAATAACAAATTGATAAAAACTAAGTTCAGCCTTTTTAATATTTTTAATTAAACACAATATTACATTTTACAGTGCACGATGCCCAGCTGGAAACACTTCAGCTACCCGAGATTCACCGAATTTACAGAAAATGTTACATTTTTGTGATTTATATCGTTATTGGACGATAGATGTTTTATATCGGGATATGAGATTTTGGTCATATCGCACAGCCCTACTCTGAGGGGGGTTAGTGAAGTGGCAGTTGCCCACTCTGCCGCCCTCACCATCCGCTGCAGTTTTCTCTTGTCCTCCACTTTTTTTTTTTTAATTTGCCAAAGATTTCTGACAAATATTTTGTACATTGCTGGTATTACAGTTAATAAAACTCATACACTTGAGGTATTATAGTGAATATTCAATGTAGAAAATGAGTCACCTTGAATCACCTCCCCTCCAGCAGGCCAGAAAAAGCAGTCCTGCATCCAGTTTTGCTGTCTTGATGTCTCTCATATTCTTCTATCACCGTTTCTTTTAAGTTGCAGACATGACAGTCCAACGACAGGCCACCCTGTTTTATGTGAAGCATGAAGCCAGTGATAACAAGTAATAAGAAGTTGATAACTGGGGATTTTAACCTGAACCTGCTTCATGGTGCAGCTCTCAGGTCTCTCTTGAAAATGTGTTTAACATCAGTGAGACCTTTTCTCAACTATTACCCAATAAGCTCCTCTAAATTAAGAAATTCGTTTCCTTGCCTTCCTTATACACATACTCTATGATACCTGTGTCACACCACAGCATCATCCTGTCCAAGGACAGTGATGGGTTCTGTAGCTGTCCTCTTCCTTCTGAAGCTGATCACAATCTCTCTGGTCTTATTTACATTCAGCAGATGATTCATCACAAACCACTCTGCAAAATCATCAATCATCAAATTGCAATCACATTATGCAATGGAAAAACATGTGTTAGTTTACTGATGATAACTGATTATTTCTTGTTGAACTTGTTGAGCTTTTTCCAAGGATCTAAAGAAAGAGATTCTTCCACTGTAAGAAGTCCAAGTTGTTTTTTGTTTTCCAGCTTACGAAGACGGCCCTCTTGGTGACAATAAAAGCTCTGAATGGACTAGCAGCAGCACATGTTTGCAATTATAATGTTGCAATCACATATGTTCATGCTTTTTATGGCCATAGTTACGACTGACTAAAGGATGCTGTTCCTTCTTGCATTATATTGCGTGGCTGTGCTTTTATTTGGGATTCATGTGTAGATTGCAGACTTTTAAATGTAGTCTTCAAATGAGTTTGTAAAAATACATTTTTGTACATGAAGATTTTATTTTCAGTCAAAACTATGATGATGTTTGCATGGTGTAGAAAGACAATAGACTTAACCAATAAAAAACTGAAGTTTCTAATGCACTTAGAGGTTTCAGATCACAATACAGTATAAAAATCAAGACCAGCTATACGGCTGTGCATTTTTCTGTTTGTTTAGTCAGCTGTAGGCTGTACAATACATGGGTGGTGATTGAGGTCACACAGTCCCCTCAGTCGTCTCTTTCAGCTCCTCTTCAGTGACCGCAGGCTGGTAAGTCTCTGTGAGTCAAATAAGCAGATCCATTATAAACACAAACCGAGATCTTGCACAAAAGTTGATCAACTTGTGGTGAAATATGAAACTCTGTGGTCTGGATATTCATCTACATAAAAAATAGGCCAATTTTGACACATGGAAGCAGAAAAAAGCACCAACAGTGTTTAAGAGAGCTACTTCATGCTGGCTGACAGGACAGAAAAATTATATTTGTGCTTTACTGTAATGAGAAGTCAAAAAGTATGTTGTGGAAAAAAGTCCAGCTTTCCCTTGCGCTACACATCAAAAAGTATTTTTAACACTATTCTTCCAATTTTTAAAAAACACAAATGCAAGGCTTTACTGTTTGTATTAGAGCCTTCATACCTTATATTTTTAGTGACATTGTTTTTTTGTTTTTTTAAGGTGAAAAGTCTTGTTTCAGTGTTTCAGCATGACTAAAGTATAAACTGGTCCTTCCCAACATTTACAACAGCCTTTGTTTTAAAAACTAACAAAAGTTATTCTAAGATCTCATACTTGTAATTCAGACTCCAGTCTGTTTTATATTTAATATCTTTAGTTCAGATGAATAACAAGGAAATTATATACAGTAGAATAAACACCCCTCTATGTTCTATGTACCTTTATAAAAGGTCAGTTTTGATGCTATTAAATGAGGAAACAAATGAGGGTATGTCATTAGAGGTTCAAGATTGGTCTCTATAACCTACAAAATAAAAGCTTACATCAAATCTGCCTTGCTTAGATTAATGCCCACTAACAACTGTTATTAATCATCAACACTATAAAGGGTCAAGGCTGAACTTATTCTTGTTTACTCTCCCTGTTTGTTCCCCATGTTTTTTCTTGTGTCATAAAAGGCCTTAGATAACCTGATGTACCTTTCTCCTTTTTCGTGAACCTTCGGTAGCACCTGAACAGCACAACGAGCACCAATGCCTCCGTCACCTGAAAAGACCCATAGATCATTGGGAACAGAAACAGAGGGCCTATCACTTCCTGGGGGAAAGCTATCTTCAATATGGTGATGCACAGCTGGATGTTCTGACAGCCTGTTTCCACAGAAACGGTCCTCCGCTCCCTGGTGACAGACACACATGTTCATGAGTCATGAATATAAACAGAAAGGCTCATAATTCTTTCATCTTTGATGTGACTGCCTTGACTTGACTCGATGACTGAATTAAGCCAAAGAACCTACGACTGGCTGAGTCTGAAGATCGCAGAGAGGACATATCCAAAGGAGTAGCCTATCAAAGGCATGAGAGCAGCGATGGCCAAGAGCGGAGGAGACAGCACAGTCAGCATGACTCTTCCGATTCCAATGTTGGTTAAGGTGACGATCACCACAATAAAAATCATCATTATAATTAGGCCTACCTGCAAACAGCAGGACACGAAACAAATCAACTCCATAGCAATTTGACAGTTGACTGACAAGCATTTTAAGGCAAAATGAGGCGTATTCCCTTTTACTTCATAACAAATGTGGCAGATAAAACATTGTGAGCTGAACTTGTATTTGACCACAGTAGTAAACAGTTAAGGTAATTACTTTTTTTAAATTAAAGCTGAAAGTCTGACTTGAGTCACAACTTGATTGCTTGATTTAAAACCCACCATGATTGTGTACAGATGCAAAACTACAAAAAATGACTGTTGAAAAACTTAAGGACCTGACTCTGTTGTCAACAGATCCAATAAAAAGATCAAAACCAAAAATAAGCCGATCCAGTAACAAATAGTGAAGCCTGATTTCTGATTTCGAAGTGATACAGAGATCCTTTACCATCCAAAAACCAGAACACCATTCTCTAAACCATGTACTGGTTCACATTGACCTAGTTACCTATATACCACCCTGGTCCAAAGAACTCTTTAGGACTCACTGGGTAGTCATGTGATGTGAGAAAAATGAGAAAGATTCATTTAAAACATGTGACACACAAAATCAAACACTTGATTGATGTAAGAAAGTTTTGACTGATGATGTACTGATAAACATCTCTGTGCCAGTTAATCAACACTGTTTATCAGTTCTAGTGATCTGTCCAACCTTCAGACTCTTGTGAGTATGCACAGACCTTTGTGATGATCTTTGAGTACTGCGGCCTGTAGGTATTGATGATGATGCCAATGCCGCACGGCACCAGGATCATGACCAGTGATACGATAATTTCAACATAAGGGACAGCGTTCTGCAGGTCGGAGAAACCCTGACAGTAGAGGTAGAGCAGGAGAGGCATCATACCAAGAGCCAGCAACGTTGAGCAAGAGGTCATCACGATGCTGAAGGAAAAAGATAAGCGTGAGACCATGACAGCTTTTATCTTTTTGTAGCACCATAATGCTCAAAATTTCCTTCTCAGCATTATGTTGACAAAATGCATTCAAAATTTATCATAGTGTGAGACACTTCATAAACACAACACAAACAGGTTGCACAAATTCTGACTGTTCCAGAGGTTAAATACATTCTGTTTATATAGCACCAAGTCACAGCAACAGTTACCTCAAGGTGCTTTATTTTGTAAGGTAAAGACCCTGCAATCAGATGACCCCCTATGAGCCAATGAAGAGAAACCAATGTGGAAGAAATATACTGTCTCTTTCTAAACTGCAGAAAGACTATATTTCTGTCTCAGATGTGTTTACATACAACATAAATAATGTGTATTCAGTATCAGTATTCTGAGGTTAAGCCAAGCAATGAGAAGAAAAAAATAATTAATATGAACAACAACAAGAAATAGTAGAAGAAGAATATTTGTGCAGCCATGTGTACATTACTTAGGGTTTCAAGGCAAAAAGGCAACAAAAATCCACTGCGAAACATTCCCGTTTTACCAGAAATTGAATGCTCTGGACTTTAATTCCCCTTTACAAAAAGTGAATTGAAAATTGAAAATATTATAATCTAGATGAGGTAAAATTTGACTGAAGAAAAGCAGTTTTTACAAATAGCAAGCAAGAGCCCAGTGGAAAGACTTCATATCATACTGAGTGTTTCTTCAGTCACATTTCTCACTCATTATGTGTTAATATACCTCTCTGCACTGAATCATACTTATTATTAATCTTTGGCTCTCTTCCAGAACATGTCTTATCCTGTCTTCCTTCTCTCACCCCAATTGGTCCCAGCAGATGTCCCCCCTCCCTGAGCCTGGTTCTGCTGGAGGTTTCTTCCTGTTAAAAGGGAGTTTTTCCTTCCCACTGTCACCAAAGTGCTTTCTCATAGGGATCAAATGATTCTTGGGTTTTTCTCTGTATGTATTATTGTACAGTCTACCTTACAATATAAAGCACCTTGACGTGACTGTTGTTGTGATTTGGCACATAAATAGAATTGAATTGAATTGAATTGAATATCATGTCTAAATTAAGCAGCAAGGTCTCTAGAAGCCAAGAGCAGTCCTTATGTTAATTGTTAAGATCGCAGAGTGGATGTTCCTCTTATTTCTACATGCTATCAAAAGCACAGTCCAGTTTTCCCACTTTTCCTCTTGTGAGCAGCTCACCGTTTGGGAGCCTCATGCATTACTTCCAAAACCCTGCCTAACTGGAAATTCCTCATATCCTGCCGAAACATTGCTTGTGTTATTTTTGCTGGTTTGGGAGCCCATGACATGCTTGCCAACTAATTGTTACAAGGTTGGCTGCTACACTGTGTTATGCAACTCTAGTACATGCCATTACGCTCTTGTTAACATTCCTTTGTTGATCAGAGTTCCTGTTTTGTCAGTGGTCTTTTTCTTGTTCCCAAATGAAACAAAAACAAAAATTCTAATTCATAAAACATTAGTGGGGTTGTGTGAGATAACGATGTTCTTCCAGGCACTTGGTTATATAACAAGATAACAAGCTTGTAGTGACTGAAACAATCTGCATTCTTTGCCCTCATTGCCCACAGTCTGTCCTCACTGATCATGTTTAAGAGCAACAGGCCAAACGAGGTCCTCACATATCAGATAAAGGAGGACTGTCTCGAAGCCTAAAGTAACCACCTGTTGCTTCATAAGGGAGAGATAAGAGACGAGGTGAAAGGCTAGCCGAGTGAAAGTATAACGCCTAGGTGTCGCTCTGTTATGATAAAATGTTGATGATCTGTAAGACATTCATTTCTAATAACGTGTATCACTGCTTTTCAGACTGCAAGGTGTATTATGATTATCAGCGGTACGATAACAAGACGGATGAGGTTGCTTAACTTAAAAAAAAAACAGTTTATTGCATATCTTTTCCCAGAACTGAATTTAAATAAACACAAACGGTTTCAGGTTTGTGTCTTTAACTTGTGTGATATTTAAAGTTGTTTCAAAGAAAATTAAACCATCTGGATTCGGAGGTGTCAGAAGAAGATACCTAAAAAATGTGAGATTTTAACAGCAAACCATTTAGGAATGCACTTCCTCCCGCAGTAAGGGGTTTTGAATTTTACAAATAAAATAAAGACTAATAATCTCTAAGGATTTATGTCTTTGTGCGTTTGATCGTTTAAAAAAAACCCAATGCATTAACAGTTTTGTAGCTAAATATTTTCTGTTTGTGTACCTGAGGTTCATGTCGCCCTGAAGAGCCAAAGCCAGGATGTTGGAGAGAGCTCCTCCGGGACAGCAGCCACAGATCAGAATCACCACAGCTGCTATTTCAGCCAACTTAAACAGCTGTAACGCAATAATCATAGTAACCTCATATGCAAAAGCAACAAAAGCAAGATCTCATAATGACACAAATGTGCACTAAGAATACCTTTAGCATTTTCTTTAATTACTTTTTTTAATTACTGATAGTTCCTCTGCAGTTAATGTCATAGTTCATGAATAAATTCTTAATCAGTGAACAGATTAAATGACCATTTTATATATTCAGAAAAAAACAGAAAATACTTTATTTTACTGTTTTAGCGCTACTAACATTAGAAATGACAATTAAAAATGAAGTAAAGAAAAAACAGGAACACAAATATTTTCCAGTACAAACATATTATGCCTACTGCCTTTCTTACTGTAGTGTTTATACTCTTATTTCACTTTGCATCAGTACCAACCTTAGCTAAGAAAAAAGCTGTGAGAGGCATTATGCCATACTGAGCCACGACTGCGATAGCCACCCCCTTAGGTTTTCTCATATGATGCTGGAAACAGAAGAAGAAAAGTTCACATTAGCATAAGATTGTCTCCTTACATTTAGCTCACATATGAAACTGAACTTGCTGTAGTCACCTTGATCTTGGACACCTCCATGGTGCATCCCAGTGAAACCATGGTCACAAATAAGACAATTATCATAATTATGTTGATGGTTTTGTCCATTACTGGTGACATGGTAGGCATGTAACTGGAGGTGCTGTTTGCATTTGTGTTGTTGAGCCACGGATCTGGATCGGAGATAATATCCACTGTGTGGTCCATGGTGCCTTCAAATCAGAGCTGTGAGTGGAAAATCAAATGATAGAGCAGGCTGACTTTTGCAGGCTCATTCAAAGAATTTTGTATCCTGAGGACAGAAGAGGTGCATTAAATTTCAGTCAGTGTGACTGTTCTAATATTTATGGTGCATTTGGTTGGAATTGTAGCTGTTTTAACCGTGAGTCTTGCACAATGGATTTGGTGTTGTGTGCAATGCAGTCCGTGACAGTTAACTTTGGCTTTTTGCAGGTTTTGCAGTTGGTACTATGTTTGCTGCTCATTAGGCCAGAGTGATGCACTGTGAAGCAAAATAAAGTCAGGTCAATGAATGAGCAACTTTAACCTCCAAATGTATGGAGGTTAAGGTTTAACAAGTTGAACGTGTCAGATTGCTAATGATATGTATATTGGCATATTTATCACCAAGATTAACAACTGCCTTATTTGCAGGACCTGCATTTTTATTTTCAATGTTTTTCCATGAAAGGTTTGTTCTGTTTAGCATTCATTCTGTTCAATTTCAGTGACAGAAGAGTGAAATGAAGCATTAAACACATCTGTGTGGTCTCAGTCATCCAGGTCATTATAACCTTGAGAGCTTAAAATAAGCGGCAACCGGCCTTCTTTAAGTTTGTGAGGATGTTTCACTTCTCATCCAAGAGGCTTCTTCAGTTCTAAAGCCCAAAGGAGGATAGGCCCAGGTATTAATCTCCTAATGTAGGTTTTCCTATTTAGGGGTGGTCATTGACCTACTAGTGATCATGTGGATCATCACATGAGCCAAGGTGTGAAACAAGGCATGGCTCATTAAAATGCTAGAGGGTTAAGGGTGAAACCAGACTTTGCCCCACCCTATCATGTGACTTCTTGAGATCACTAGAGGCTAGGTGTGAGTGGAAAAGGTTCGCAAGATTGTATCGTAGATGGCTGATAGCTGTTGTCATAAGACAATGTCTCTGTTCAGCGATGGTCAGTCACAGTGGATGTAAACAGCCTCCATTACTCCTCTTAGAAACCATTGATGCTTTCAGCCCTGAATATGAACACTGTCATCTTTAAAGGAGTATCCTTTGTCCATCAAACACTCTGTTGTATGTGAGCATACACAGAGATTGAAGCAAAAACAAACCTTAATAATTACAATGGAATTCAAGTTCTCTAATTGGATAATTTTAAGTTTTATTGAGCTAGTTAATGCAGAGTAATCCTCGATAGGTTGAAGCTGCTTTATGGTGCACTCCTCTTGAAAAAGGTGTTTAATATCAGTTAGTTTTGTTCACTTAAATAAAATATATGAAAATAAATTATAAAACTAGATCAGAGAGTCAAATAAAGGGGTCTCATTCCTCACTGAATCGCTCTTAACGGTTTCTACTTTGTTTACTTTCCCAGAAAGCTCGATGTTGTGTGGACCTGAGATAAGTTCCCTGTTTTGAGATAGTAGTTGTACAGGTCATAGTACACATTATATGGGCCTGAGACCATTTAATGTAATCATTACATGTGCTGTAGATGTTCAGACTTTGAAACTCCTTTGAATTCCCTTACTGTGTTTGAGGTAATGCTGCTGCAGCCTACACACCTTATACCATCCTGTTTTTATAGCACACACAGTGCTGCATACACAGTCATATAAAATGACTTATTTTGTGTTTACAAGAAGAGGAAGGAGTTTAAAGTCATTTAAAAGTACAGTGCTTGACATTTAACCAAAAACACTTGGATAAAACGTGTTTAACATGGCATAGTTAGCTAAACAAAGCATATGTCTCGCTGAAAGTCACTTAAATCTAGTTAATCTGTGCATTAATGCACAACAACATGCAGCATTTGCTTGTTTCAAACCTCAAACTCCAGCATGCCTCCATCTCCATGTGACAACCACATCCTCCCTGCTGGCATGCTCACATGCTGTGTGCACACAAATTACTTTCACAAGATTGCACATCTCTGTTTTCTGCTCATATAAACAAGAACATGTTTGGGGAAAAAAAAAAACCCTACAGCACAGCAAAGCTCCATAAAGGTGTCAAGCATTACTTTTTGACTGTGCTGAAGGTGAAAATTGCACACCTAAATATAGAGGTCAGTCTGCAGAAAGTAGGAAAAACAAGAAATTAGGAAAATTCTCAAGATGATTTCCAAGAAATGAACAGCTGCAGTTTTAAATTGAATATACATATATATATATATATATATATATATATATATATATATATATATATATATATATATATATACATATATATATATATATATATATATATATATATATATATATATATTGCTGTATTCAGTGCTTTCTTTACCTTCTGGGACAGATTCTTCCTTTCCTCGTCTCTCGTCTCTTTGTCATTAAATCAACTCTTTTGTGTTGACACTCCTGTTATCTGTAACAAATGACACATGGAGGCTTCTGTTTGCGCAGAGGTGCCATCTAGTGCACAGCTGACTACAGCACTTTAAGAGAAAACAATCTCCTCTGGGAGTTTCTGTAATGAAAAACGATAAGAAACAAACAAACAAAAAAAGACTGAACTATTAACGAATAACTTTCTCTAACTTTAGAAAATCAAAAGGTGTCCATGTATTGTTTTTGTGGGTCCTTGCTGATCTGATTCATTCTTTGAATGAATCAGATCAGCAAGATAATATTCTTTGATAAGATTCTTTGAATCTTATCTGATTCAAAGAATGAATCCGATAAGAACGCATTGTGTCTTTGACAGTGAACATCTGTGAAGAAGTCAGCACTGTGGAATTCCTCGAAGAGTCCCCAAAGATGTTTTCTGCGTATCCTGTTGATTAGCTGTAATTGAAGGAACAAGGGGGTTGCATTTTGAACAAATATCCAGAAAAAGACATGCCTGTGTGAGGCTTTGCTTGTAGATGAAAAATAATGCACCAAAAATGGTCATTTAGTGCTTAAAATTTTAGAATTACTGACAAATATTTGAGGCAGAAAGGGATGGGGCAGTGGTTTGTAGGGTTTGGCCTGTTGAGCTGTTGTAGTTGTTGTAGTTGAAGGAAAGCCCAACACCAAAACATTCAGAGATGAGAGCCGAGACATGTAATCTCTCTCTTCTGGGCCTGCTCAGGGACCTCCACCTGGGGGGACATGCCTCACCCAGTAGGCATCCCTGTCAGCTACCAGCTACTTTTAAGCTCTCTCGTCACCAGGACAGACTGGTATAGGTCGTGTCCAAATTCATGGGCTGCATCCTCCTGAGGCTGCATTTGTAGGCCGATTATGCCACAGCAACGCGACGACGGCTGTCCAAATTCGTAGACTCCTCCGAATGCAGCCGAAAAATGCGTCCTCCTTTTCCCAGAATTTGAAGGATGGGTCGGGTGTATCCTTCATGGCCCACCATATCCCAGAACTCATAGCGCGGCCCAGCCAATTCCAGTTTTGAACAATGCGGCTGCTACTAAGTTTTTAATATTACTCTTATTACTCTTTCTGGGTCACAAAATAAACTTTTAACATATTTTCAGGCGAGAATGTAGCTGTGTAAACTTCAAATATCTGCTCAGTTTATGAAGATATCGCATATTTGCAAAAGTGCTCTGACATTTTCGGAGACGTCTGTTATCCGCCAGCTCGATAGCTAGCCGGGAGCTCGAGGGTCACTAGAGCTGCCGAGAACGGCACAACTCCCGGCACATCATTTTCAGATCACCGCAGACTTCCGCTACTCAGGTTAAACGTAAACTTAGACAACCTAAAAATGTTATTGTTTGGCTTTTTTCAGTGTTTTATTTGTTCATGAGTGAATCAGTTTGGCTGAGATTAAAGTTGTTAGATTAGATTAGATAAAATAAAACTTAATTATCCCTCGGGTGGTTTTCACACAGCTGAATAAACATCAAATAGAAAACTGATTAAACAGAAGTGTGAGACAGTCGAGAATTTACACCAGTGTCCTGTTATATTTTAGATAGCAAAGAGCAGACGGCTGAGTTGATTAAACTCCACCAAGACAGCGGTGACACAAATCTGAAGGTTAGACTGTCCAATTTCACAGCCGTTTACTTCCGGCCTACCCGACCATCTGAGGACCCGGCCCACGTAGACCGTGAGAGCCGGGTCCTCAGGAGGATGCAGCCCATGAATTTGGACACAACTATAGTGTCCACATCACTGCAGTCACAGCACCACTCCGTCTGTTGATCTCCCGCTCCCCTCTCACCTCACCCGTGAGCAAGACCCCGAGATACTTAAACTCCTCCACTTGGAGCAGTAACTCATCCCTGACCTGAAGTGGGCACTCCACCCTTTTCCAGATGAGGACCGTGGCTTCAGACTTGGAGGTGCTGATTCTCATTCCCAGCGCTTTGAACCTCTCAAGTGCAAGCTGGCTTCATCAGGTGGTGTCTTGCCTTGGGCAAGACACCTTACCCTACCGCCTACTGGTGTTGGCCAGAGGGGCCGATGGCGCGATATGGCAGCCTCGCTTCTGTCAGTCTGCCCCAGGGCAGCTGTGGCTACAACCGTAGCTGCCTCCACCAGTGTGTGAATGTGAGAGTGAATGAATAGTGGCATTGTAAAGCGCTTTGGGTGCCTTAAAAAGCGCTATATAAATCCAATCCATTATTATTATCTAGTGCACAACTGACTTCAGCACCTCAAGAGGTGAAGCTCATCCAGGAGCTTCTGCAATGGAAATGTAAAAAATAAAAAATAAATCTGAATGAACTGGTAACTAATAACTTCCTCTAACTTTATGAAGTCAAAAAGTGTCTTTGTTTTTTTTTTGTGTGTCCTTGCTGGCTTAGCCCTTTAAAGCAAGAGGCATTGTGTCTTTGAAGATGAACATCTGTGAAAGAGTTGACATTGTGGAAATCCCTGAGGAAGATTCCCAAAGATGTTTTCTGTTTGCCCCGTTGGTTATGGACCACAATGAGTCACAGAGTATAAATAAAAAAAAGAATTTGCAGCCCTTTGTCTGAACACAATGCTGTAATCACAGAAACACCATCTTAACATATCCAGGGGGTTGCATATTTAAAAACAAATTTCAACAGATGACGAGTGGCTGAACAAACATACAGAAAGAAGAGGTCTCTGCTTTTAGATGAGGAATGATGCACCCGAAATGGGCTTTTAATGCTTAAAATGTCAGAATTTATCAAAAGTAGAACATTAAAAATACAAACAGATGATTCAGTCATTAGGAGTCTGCAGTCTTGCTTTATTGCTAAAAATACTTGCAATGATACCTTTTTGCCTGCTGGTTTGCCAGCAGATTAGCATCTGCCAGGTACAAACTCCACACATGATCACAAGTTATGTACAGCTGACAGATTGTTACCTGAATACTGATGCCAAGTTCCTCACTGGCTTTCAAGAGCTCATAATTCCATGCCAAAAATGATAGAAGTAGCTCTGAAATGACAACAGTACATCCTGCTTTATGCTTTAAGATGTTTTTTGGTTATAGTTGTGATAAAGATGAGTTTCCAGATGGGCGTGAGGTTCTGGGGGCGCTCCGTCTCTGGGCTGGGACCCGGACCGGGCCTCCGGGGCTTGGGTCCTGGTTGGTGTGTTGCCGGGGTTGTGGGCGGGTGGGTGCATGGGGGCCCAGCCCTGGAGCAGGGTGCCGCCGGTGCATCGAGCCACCTGGGGGGCTCTTCAACTGGTGGGGGAGATTGTCACATCTTGCAGGAGCTTTCCTCTCCTCAGGAGCTCCCTCTGCAGGAGGGGGAGATACAGGAGAGGTGGAGGAAGATCTCAGCCTGGGTGTTTATTGTCTTATGTAGTCTGGAAGATGAGTGGATGGTGGGGTGGGTGCAGTTTTCTCTGTGGTGGGGTTGGGTGGACTGTCCCGGGCTCTGTGGGGCCGGGCGGCGCTGCTGCACTGGGCCCCGGTCTGGATGGGCCTGGGCCCCCTTTCCCTGGCGGGTCGCGGAGTGTGGGGGTGCCTACTGGGGTCAGCGGGGGAGCTGGCCCCAGGGAGGGGTCACTTGCCCCTCCCTTCCTTCCCTCCCCATCTCCAGCTGCCTCCCTCTTCCCGCTCCACCACAACCACCCACACATGCAGGGTCTTGGAGTAGGGGTATGTCACCAGGGTGCAGAGGAGGCTACCCCCCCCTCTGTCCCCTTCTGGCTGCCTCTGCCTCAATTTTATCCCACAACTTAGACATTCACATTACTCACACTCTCATTACACATACATATAGGATCTTGGGGGTGGGCAAACACGGAGTCCAAAGTACCATCAGGGTGTACACCCCACCCCTGGCATCGTTGCCCACCTCTCAATTTTAAATACACATAGACATTGAGGGCCAGCAGGAGGGACCATGCGCTTACCTGCTGCTCTCTGGCAGGTAGCTCCAAGCCCTCCTGGGTTTTAAATGCACCTTAAAACACACATGCATCAACACTACAATGAGCGGGTGGAGGGAGGTTTGGAGTCTTCTCTCACCCCCATTCTCTGCGACCTGCTGGAGCAGGGGGGCTAGGAGGAGGAGTTGGCCGTCCGACTGCGGTCTGGAGTGTGGAGCCTTCCTGCTGCTGCGGAGTCGGGGCGGTCTGCCTCCCCCCACCGCAGGGAAAAGGGAAACACCACCTGGGTCTGGGTGCAGTTCCCCCCTCCAGGGGCGGGGGCACCTAGACCCGGTTTGTAGAGTACGCTTGGGGAGTGTGATCGTGTGTACAGCGTCTCTTTATGTCTGTCTCCACGTTGGTTGAGTGTGGAGTAAGTGCATATGAGAGCATGAGGGTGGGAATGGATGTTTGTATATGTGTGTGCCTGTATGTCTGTGTCTATATGTCAGGTTGGGTGTCAGGCGCCACCTCTCTGGGGACATCTTAGGCCCTCCAAGGTTTGGAGGCCTATCTCCCCCTACCACCACTTCCCCTGCCGGTGGCGGACCCCCTCAGACATCGGTGCGTTGGTGCTTCTTTGTGTCCGGGGATGGGCGTCCAGGTACACACCGGCTCACTCCTTGGCGGCCGCTTATCGGGGCCTGGAGCCTGGGGCTCGCTCGGGGCACTTCGGAGGTGGGATGCCCCCGGCCTCTCGGCCTGGGGCTCGGTCACTCAGGCGCAGCTGGCTGCCGGCGGAGCTCACGGGCGCGTCACTGCAACTCCCCCTGGCTTCTGCTCCGCGGCTGCTGAGTGAGCCCTCATCTGGGACTCTCCTCAGCTCTTTCCGGGACAGTGGCGCAGCTGCCCCTCTGTTGGTCTTCCTTGGTCTCTTGTGTTCTGGGGGCCTCTGGATGTCTGGAGTTTTGAGCTCCTCCACACCTGCTTCATGCCCTGGAGGACGGGGCTGTGGCCCCCCCACACCCTCTAGCAGATTATTACATGAAGGAACCTTTTAAAAAACAAAAAACAAGCGCGTCCATGCTCACAGGTGTACACACGGGTGATCACAC